AATAAATAAATAAATAAATAAATAAATAAATAAATAAAATGAAGTTAATAAAAACTAATTTTTTTAATAAATTCAAATATGTCTACCTGCACAGGTGTGTCCATCCCCTGTGTAACCAGGGTGACAAGTACAGGTGAAGTTCCCCACTGTGTTGGTACAGTTGGCGTTCACGTCACAGCTGTCAATGTAACTGGTGCACTCATCAATATCTGCAAAGAAAACAGGCAAATATTAATTTCATTTAAGAATTTGTAGGCTGTTTAGTAGTTACCCATAGATATTATGATACTTATTTTTGTTGTGACTTTAAATATATGAAGCAATGTGCTTTATTCATCCAACTAAAGAAATACCAAAATAATAATAATAATGATAATAATAATTGATACTGTGGCCAAAAGTTATTAAAATCAGTAAAATCATCTTAAGTGATCAATAAACTGCTGAATGTGTTGCAACAGCTTAATCATAAGCAAATAACAAAATTTAAAATTATATTTGAGGGGCAGTTATAAACTAATTTTAATGGCTGATGATTTTTATTGTGCAGATTTGATGAAAAAAAATTAATCAATAAAGACCTTCACAAATGAACCCATCTCCCAGGAAGCCCTCATGACAGGCACAGGTAAAGCTGGCCAGTGTATTTGTACACAAGGCGTGAGGACTGCAACCCCCATTGTCTACAAGGCATTCATTGGTGTCTGCAAGGAAACAAATGTAAAAAATACTTGCAAATTTGTGTAATAAAGAAAAAAATTGGCTTCAACAAGAAAATACAGTTGGAACTCTATCAAGAGCAGTTTTATTATCTAAGTTGTGATATTTATCACCTTGACAGGTTAATCCATCTCCCGTATATCCCATGTGACATGTACAGATAAAACTCCCTGCCGTATTGGTGCATGTTGCATCACTGTCACAGCCACCATTGTTCTCCAAACACTCATCTATGTCTAGAGCAGCAAAAAAGAAGTTTTTAAGTAGCAGCAAAAAAGTTTTTTAGTAGATGTTCACATCTACTTAAAAGTAACAACTCTTTATAATACATTGTAGACAACACATGAAAATATAATAAACTTCATTTTACCACCAATGACTGAAATGGACCAAAAGAAGTTAAAATACAGTTACTGTTAGTAGTAGTCCAATGCAATGATAGAGTGTCTTTTTTGACAGAAATAAATATATTGATCATGAATGTAGTCAAAATTAATATGGTTGACTGCAAGGCCATCTACATGACTTGCTTTCATAGGTAGTCAATCTCTGGATTTCTCAAAATGAAGCACATAGTACAGAAAAAAAAATGTACCACTAGATGTAAAAATGGCCTAAAAAACATACCATGACAGCTGTAGCCATCTCCCAGGAATCCAGTATTGCAAACACAGTCCAAGCTGTCTCCAGTATCTACACACATAGCATTGTCATCACATGTTATGTTACCACGGTAACACTGGCTAATGTCTAGAAAATTAAGGATAAGCTATTTTAGAAATATATCTTATCAACAAAGATGAAAGTAGGCTTTTGAACAATAATCCTGAAAGTGCAAGTATCAATGTTCTACATCAATGGGACATAAACTGCTACTAAACATTCGATTTCTAGGTAAATTCATTGAACTTCCATCCCTAAAAAATGCAAGGGCATACAGAAGCCATCTTCTGGGTCTTCCAGAAGACAGTCAAAATTTTTCAAGTTTACACTGACACGTATCTAATTTTTCAGTCAGAAGAAGATCAAAATGGAGGATGGATCAACAAAGATTGGAGGATGGATCAACAAAGATAATTTGAAAGACTGTCAAAAAAGAAGGTCAAAATGGAGAATGGATCAACAAAGATATTTTGAAAGACTGTCAGAAAATATCTCTGGATCCCTCACTGAAATGAATAAATGAAGTGTACTAAAAACTTGCCAAATGCCCATGGCTTGTGATTATTTCTGGTCCAATCAAAGCTGTAAAGAGCTACGATTATTTCAAGTTGTTGTATGCAGAAACTATAATTGCATAATAATATATTACGCATTACACAGCCGATGAGATTATTTGCTAGAAACAAAACTTGAACCGAAAGAGGTTATCTGAGCTTTTTTTTTCAGACCTTTTGTTCTATTCATCGATTAAGCACCCCAGCATCCACTCCCCCCCCCCCAAAAAAATAAATAAATAAATAAATAAAATAAAAATACTTAGATATTTTGATTGTTGAAGCATTAAAATAGAGTCACCTAAGCAGGAAAAGCCGTCCCCGCTGAAGAACACGTTACATGAGCAGGTGAAACTGCCGATGCTGTTGGCACATATGGCATTCTCATCACATCCTCCATCATCCACTGAACACTCATTTATATCTAGGGAGAATAAAGGAAATACATACAATGTATGTATAAAGTAACAAAATTCCTTTTCAACGCATGTTTTTATAAACCAAAAATCTTTAATGTTTTAAAATGGAACCTGGACAAAGGATAGTGAATTGATAATATCAGTTATTAAACATTTTGAACTGACAAATAACTTTCTGACAAGCAAAGAGGAAGTAACCATTTGGCAGTATTTCTTCAGCTAAATTTAATTAATAACTCAAAAAATTTAAAGCTACATGGAATATCTTGTTTGGTGGGTAAAGCTACTACTAAATCGCAACCCTGTTGGGGAAGAAACACTATTATTCAACAATTAAGACAAATTAAATAAGTATTCCACAAGTTTAAGATTAAATGAAATCATCACCAGATAATTTTTCATTCAGAAGATTGAGTAAAATTCTTACCCTCACAGTAAAAACCATCTCCTGAAAATCCATCCAAACAGGAACAAGAGAAGCTGCCAGCACTATTATTACATAATGCACTGGCATGACAGCTGTCGTTAAATAAACATTCATTGATGTCTGAAATTAAAATAAAACAAACACCTCAAGTATAACTTGGCTTTTGTTTTTAGTCTGTGTTTGAAATAAAAAAATTGGCATCCTTGGAAGAATTTGTGTTATAAATCAGTTCTGTGTTGGTCGTGACAGTGTTTTATTAGGACCTGTGACAGGTGTGATGGTGTTTTGTTAGGTATGACAGTGTTTTGTTAGGTGTGACAGTGTGTTAGATGTGACAGTGTTTTGTTAGGTGTGACAGGGTGTTAGGTAACGTTTGACAGTGTTTTGTTAGGTCTGAGATTGTTAGGTTTGACAGTGTTTTGTTAGGTCTGACAGGGTGTTAGGTTTGACAGTGTTGTGTTAGGTGTGATAGTGTGTTAGGTGTCACCTTGTGTATGGTTTGCTAGGATTCATGCAATTGATGTGAGTATGGAAACCCAGGTGTTGGGCATGGTAGGGTAAATTGGCAGATGAGAAAAGGATAACAGGTTTTAAAATAAGGAAGTTTATAAATGGTATGACAATTTTTAAAGAGTAACAACATGTAGGCTTGGCCTAAGTATGCCAATGTGCACCATGACAGGTCAATAATACATTTTGAGAACTTGACATTATTTTGAAATATTTTACTTTCTTACCATCACAGACAATTCCATCTCCAGTGAAGCCAGTATGACAAGTACAGGTGAAGTTACCAAGAGTGTTAGTACAGTCAGCATCAGCTGCACAGCCACCATTGTTGACAGCACATTCATTGATGTCTGAAATAAGAAAATCACTCAATAAAATTAACATACATATAAAGAAAGAAAGAAAGAAAGAAAATTACAATAATAATAATAATAATTATTCATTAAACCTCAGCAATTAAATGTGCCAGGGCGTGATGGGCTAGTTAACACCTGAATATTCTAAGGGTACCAAAACACACTGACATGCCAAGCAGGGTCAGATTAAGAAACGTAACGTCAACACAGATGAGTTATACACAGTGACACAGATTATTATAATATTACTTATCAATGTCATGATTTTGCTTATATTACAACACACAAAATGTTTAAATACCATTTTTAGCCCAAGAATAGCTTTATCTGGTTATATTACTTAAGTTTTGTGAGACCAAGATTAATTATTAACCATCCCAGATATATTTTTAAAATAAATTTAATATCACCACTGTATACGAGAATGAATGAATTTCATGACATCAATTACTTTGATCAGTTTGGATGTCATTTGTAAGAGATCAATAACTTTCTCATAAAAATCTCTGTGATGTACTCAGTTAAATATATATATAGCCTACCTTCACATGTAAAGCCATTCCCTGCGTAACCTGGATGACATGTACAGATGAAACTTCCCTCTGTATTGGTGCAGGTAGCGTCACTGGCACAGCCACCATTGTTGACGGAGCACTCATTGATCTCTGGAAGATAGTACATTTAAGTCTTTGGAGTCAGCAATTACAAAATAATGGAAATGTTTTTAAAGTTAACCTTTTCATCCCCTTGGTTGACCCAACTTGAGAAATGGCATGGAAGACATAACAAATTTTGATTCTGAAAGGACCTTGTTAGCCAAAATTCTAGTTATCTCAACCCCTACCCACGTCTCAATACATGACATAAGGGCTGACAATGGCGTTATGCATTAAGAACATATTTCTACTTTGATCAAATATTTCTTATCTGCTTCATCTGAAGGGTCTAGTGAGCCTCAATTTCATCACAGAAAATATATTACATAAAAATGCTTGTTGATCTTTTGAATACAATTCACCTACAATTCAACATAAAAGCGTTAACACTAATGCAATATTTTTCATTTCTCTGAAAAATGAAATTAATTCTAGCACTGCAGCACCATTAATTGTTATACCCCATGGCTTAACTGATTTTAACAGATTAAAACATGTCATATTTAAGAAAAGAATGATGTTCATTAAACAGACATACCCACACATGTGAACCCATCTCCAGAATACCCCACTTTACAAACACAGGAGTGGTTGCTCAGCATGTTGATGCAGTCAGCATTCTTGTCACAGCCTCCTCGGTCCACCAAGCATTCATCAATGTCTGAACATGTAAAGGGTTAACACAATTACCGATGGAAATCATCTGATGCAACTTAAAGAGAAACTATAAAAGCCACTTACAATCATATCTTATCAATATTTCCACAAGTCACAATATTTTAAATGAGATACAGTTTCAAGATGGCAGCCAAATCCAAGATGGCAGCCATTTTCATAATTTTTAAAAAGAATTACGTGCAGACTTACCAATACAAGCAAAGCCATCCCCAGTGTAGCCTGATTTACAAGAACACTCAAAGTCCTCCCCTGTTCCAGAGCACTGTGCACTACTGTCTATGCAATTCTGTCCTCCTTTCACACATTCATCTATGTCTACAAACATAAAGTTAAAAATAGAGGTGCCTATACAGTTAAAATTGGAAGTTCTTAAAGAAAGCTAAAATAATGAAAGTCTCTAAGGTGTGCAGCTGTATATGAGTTTATGGGTTTCTGAGGGCACAGATACAATATTAAACAACCAAATATATGGGTTTCTTGCTTTGGAAATCTTTCATCTCTATATCAGGAAGATCATAATCAGTAAAGTTATAATGGTTGTTCTGTCTTTTTCCAAATTATCCAATCAACTGATAGAGAAATTAAGCAAACTGACAAAAAGAAACTAAGTACATAGGTTAAATGAACACAGAGGTGAAAATGAATAAACACTGTCAGTTAATTTTTAAAGACTTATCTCTGTTGAATTGCACCTTAAAATAATTAAAATTGGCCAGTGGTATAAAGTAAGAAAACATGCATACAGTTAGCACAAGAGCGATGTACATAGCCAGTTCCAACAGCACAATAAAATCTGGGCGGGCACGTCACTGGCTCCACACCATCCACACAGTAATGCCCCACTGGACACACTTCACACTTCACAGACCCATTGCTGGATGCATAGAATCCCACAGGACAAGGAATAGGACTGACCGTCCCAGGCTCTGGACAATAGTGACCAGGGGGACAGATGTCGCCTTTATGGACGCCATAATTAGGCGTTGCCATAGTGACCAGGGTTACACAGAAGTACCCTGCATCACAGAGGCCTGATGGGACACTTAGTCCTGTCTGGTTGCAGTAATGGCCTGCTGTGCATGGTTGGCAGTCCTCTAGACGTGATCTCCCAGTGCTGTTAGACCAGTACCCCATAGGACATGGAATGGGTCCTGGGGTTCCTCTTGGGCAGTAGTGACCTCTTGGACAGGGCATGCCTGTGCTGCCATCTGTTGGAGTTGGAGAGGTTGCTGCTGACTTGCACCAGTATCCTTCCAAACATTCTCCTGATAAATTAAACAGGCATTTAAAAGTGCTATTGAGAATAGCTTGACATGTAAAAATTTACTAGGGCATAGATAATATATTACTTCAAATTTGTCTTGAAGAGCGGCATCAATAGAACTCCGCTAGTACACGGAAACATTAATCAGCCATGGTAATCTTCAGGTATAATGTCGATCAATTTTTTTCAATATTTGAAATAGTTAATATAGCTTTGCATTTTCAGGCTGCAACAGTCTTGAATTAAGCAGCTTCAGTCTACAAAATTACCTTCTGTGTTGTTTCTTCCAGGAGTACCACAATATTTTCCAGCATCGCAAGATATACACTGCTCAGCACTCTCCAGATTGCTATGTGGGTTATATGTACCTAAAAGTTTATACAAGGGGATCTGGAATTCTTAATGAATTATTTCATTGTTATAAAATTGAACATTAATTTGCCCTTTGTCCTTTAGCTGAAGGAATTCAATTCACAATGACTCTTATTCTATGCATAATGATTTTTTAAAAGCTCCCTTGATTGAGCTTTATATCTAGCTATACATAGGCTGTCATTCATCTTTTAAATTACATGCACACAAATATGCCCACACGCATATGCACAAAGGTATACCTGAGAGTATGAGATATAATACTTACCTGCAGGACATGGGTACTGTGTGCTCCACTCTGTGCCACTGACACAGTAGTATCCTGGGGGGCAGGAATAGCTGCTGAAGTTAGAGACTGGACCATAGGTGGCATCACAGTAGAAGCCTGGAACACATCCAAGATGCATATATTTTATATAAGCATTTTAAGTTCTGGATTATTTCGATCATTCTAAGTATAAATTACGATTCTAGGACAATTCCCCCCGGACTATTCCCCCCGGACAATTGCCCCCCAGGACAATTCCCCCCCGGACGATTCCCCCCCCCAAGAAATATATATTTATATACAAATATAAAGTAGAAAGTGTAAAGTTTAAAACATTTCATCTATTTTATTAACATTTTTAGTGTGATAATATAACTTCACCATGAAACAAATTATTTTATAACAAATTCCCTTTTCATTGAGTACAAGTACAGGAAGATTTATTAAGTATCTAATGGAAGTATAACCACCTATCCTTCAGGTAAAAGTGGGGTAAACAGATGAACAGGTAAACAGATATTTTATAAATATTTTAGTGTGGTGGGTGGTGGGTGGTGGTCAAGCAATTAAAAGTGACAAATAGTCACAGGGATACCTGGATAAGCGAGAAAATCTGTTTACCCCACCTCTCCCTAGAGATGCACCTTGATTCAAGACTTACTGAATCAAGGGGGGGGGGGAGAAATAAAGCAATTAAAAGTAACAGTTAATTCATCAAAGGGCTACCTGGATGAGTGAGATCATCTGTTTACCCCTCCTTTACCTGGAGATATATATTCTTTGATCAGATTTTTAATAAAATGTTCTGTACTTCTATCTCGAAAATTTCATGTACTTGAACTCCAAGAAAATAAATTGTTTAATAGAATTAATATTATCTATCCTTGATTTGCATCATCACACTAAGAAATATTCAAAAATGGATGAAAAGAACTTTGAACTTTGTATTCTTTACTTTATATTTGTATATAAATATATATATTCTTCGGGGGGGAATCGTCCGGGGGGGAATTGTCCTGGGGGGGAATTGTCCGGGGGGAATAGTCCGGGGGGGAATTGTCCTGATACCATAAATTACATTCGAGGAGAGATGACAATATGGCCATTGCCTTTTCTACAAGCTTCACAATTTCCCTGGGCATATGTACATTACTTGGTCTACAAGCGTTATATAACTGCCCTGAGCATACATTACCTTACAGCTGCCCTCGGCATACATTACCTGGTCTGCAAGCCTTACAGCTACCCTGGGCATACAGGTCCTGGTACTGACCACTGGGACATTCTTGTTCCTCGTAACTTCCAAGTGGACAAAAGTGACCAGGGCTGCAATGGTGTAGGTCACTGGAATTTTGACCGGAACGGCAGTAATAGCCTGAAATGGGGAGCATACATATTTTACAATTCAAAGATGGCAGCCAAATAGAAGATGGCAGCCATATTTATAATAATTTTAAAGCAGAATTTTAAATATATATATATATACTTTGCCATACAAGCAAAGCCATAATGTACCAACTTTTGCTTGGTTTACATCTGTATAACAATCTTAACCTTTACCCCAATTAATGCGGCCATGTGAGTGCCATTCCGAAAGTTATCCAATCAAAAAAATTCTAACTACTTGCTGTGCAAATTATTCAACTTGAATGTTACAAAATAATCCAACAGGTTAAGTGTATGCTTTTGAAAGCTAAACCTAACTTTGTGTCTGTTAAAGCTAATAAGAACTTTTCTACTTGGTTCTTAAATTCATGGGGCTGAAGACATGTTACTTCAAATGTTTGTTCATGATACAAAAAACATCCATGAACAATCAATGAATAAGCAGCAATAAAATAAAGTGCAGTTAAGGTCTAACAGTTATATATCTTTGCCTGCATTTGTAGATACACACCTGGGTCACATAAGGAACCAGGTGTACTCAAGCCTTCCGTATCGCAGTAGTAACCCTGTAAACAGGGCATACACTCGGCAATGGTCTGGAGTCCAGTTCTATTGGAATAGGTCCCCACTGGACAGCTGGGCTGGTGGACACTGGTGCCATTTGGACAGTAGTGACCAGTGGGACATATGTTACCTGTGACCCCATCTATAGGATCTGGGCGGGATGCAGCAAGGACACAGTAGTGACCTGCTCTACATGATCCTGTGACCTCAGAGAGACCTGGAATAGAAAATAAAGTTTTGTACAGGATCAGAAAACTATGCAGCAAGGACACAGTAGTGAAACCTGCACTTCATGATCCTGTGAATTCGGAGAGACCTGATGTAAGACATCATTTGCTGTATAGGATCAGGGTGCAATGCAGCAAGGGCAAAATCCTGTGGCCTCAGAGAGATCTGGAATGAATAAGGGAATGTGTTGTACAAGATCAGAATGCCATGAAGCAACGTAGTGACCTGCACTTCATGATCCTGTGACCTCAGAGAGACCTGGAATAGGAAATGATTTGATATACAGGTTTTTCAAGGTTTATCATTTATTACACATTCACAGCAATTTACTTTCTAGCATGAAGCAATTTAGCTTTTGACAACCTTTAGATCATAATATTTTTTAAACATAAAAAATCTTATCTTGTTTAAAAATAAAATGTGTTGCTAGAAATTATGAAGTACAAGTACTGTAGCTGCCCCAGTACAATACAGATGATAAGTTCCCATGGCCCCTTGGGACAGAAATGTCTTACCCCCCCCCCCCCCACCCCCACAAAAAAAAGTACCTACCTGGTCTGGCACAGTACTTCCCCCCAGGGCAGCTGATGGGTTCCCATGACCCCTGGGGACAGTAATACCCTGGCTGGCACTCTCCCCCTGTCACCGTGGAGGGACAAAGACAGTCCCCGGTGGTATAGTTGTCATAGTCAGATGGTTCAGAAGACCATGCAGCACGGACACAAAAATAGCCTGTAAAATACAGAGAAATAGCTGTTTCATTTAATATATTATATTAAATACTTCTAACTAAAAGTATATTATGAAACATTCCAGGATGGCTCATATCTGAACACCCTGAGAGTTTGGTCTCATTCAGAATAGGGGACTAACTAGTTCGAGAGTCAAACATGTCAAATACTACTGTACAAGCATGCCGTCTAATCCACTAACAGACACTGAATAGATATCCCATAGGGAAGTATTCAAGTGGGTGGGCCATATTTGACCCTGGGACTTGTTAGTCCCCTATTCTAAATGAGGCCATTGACAGCTTTATAGTCTGGCTATTATGCAAGAGAGTAACCTAAATAGTGTCCCAAGTCTGTGACAGCCAATTTACTTAATAGCAAAAAGCAAACTTGTGGAGTTCTTGGAAAAGCTAATAACGTGTCATCCCTCGATCGGTTGAATTGAGCCGAGATTTAATTACTATGCCCCTGCAGGGACGACGCTTGGAGAGGTGTGTGAGAGGCAGAGAGACTATTACAGGATTAAGCGTTCTTTCTTTCATGTAGGTCCGCCATATTTAGGTCATGGCTTTGCTAGACCTCGGCTCTTCTCATTCTGAATGGTCCCAAATACTTACCTGCACTACAGAGTCCAGTTGGTCCAGTCAGTCCCTCCCCTGCACAGTAATATCCCCCAGGACACGGAGAGCAATCAGCTAACTTCTCTCCCATAGTAGTGTTCCTGAAGTATCCCTTAGGACACTTGTACTCATAGGCATGGCCAGTCCCTTCTGGACAATAGTGACCAACAGGACACAGGTATTCCTCATAGGATGTTAAATTTTCTGGGCAGTAGAATCCCTCTGGACAGGTCAAGCAAGTGCTTTGACCAGTAAGGTTGTTATAAGTACCAGATGGGCAGTTCAGGGGGGTGGACGTGCCTCCTGAACAATAGTTACCAACAGGACAAGGTGCCCCCTGGGTGGGGTCTTCCCCAGTGGGAGATGAAGTGTTGCTTCCTATTAAGCAGTAGAAGCCAGGGTCACAGGGTCCCTGGGGGTGGCTGAGGTTAGTCCTGGCACAGTACATCCCCAGGGGACATTGGACACAATCCAATACAGCTTTGGCCAGTGGGGTATCCCTGTAGGTCCCGCTGGGGCATGGTACTGGGTCCTCTGTCTGTATTGGACAGTAGTGACCAGTAGGGCAAGGACCTCCTTGACCAGTGCTGATGTCAGGTGTTGGAGTTCCACTGCTGGCACCTATGGAGAAAAAAAAATTAAACTGTAGTGTACTTATTTGAAAAAGTTTTGCTTGTAATAGCAATAAGACCACAAACTCATTTTTTGCCAAGAAATATCTCTAACATTGAAAAATAAACCAAAAATCACTCTACCTACAATGTCACTTTACTACAGAAACCTAAATGCAGCTGACAGACATAATAAATGCCATAAGAGCATTATACATGTATTTCAGAGGTTTTGGAAAAAAGTTCATTGAAATACATGCAATTCAAAATAATAATAATAATAAATTGATTAAATAAAAATGGAAGATTATCCTACCAGATTTACAGTAGTACCCTGCCTCACACATAGCCACCCCAGACTGAGAGATGTTTGCGAGCGGATCATACCCCGTGGCACCATGCTTGAAGCAGTAGAATCCTCCAGGACATGGAAGGCACTCATTCTCAGAGGATAAACCTGAATCATGATAAACACACTTTGAATGTATTACCTTCATCTTTTTTTTTTACGTGATAGAAATTCAATTCTGCAATTTTGACAAACCTGAAAATTTACAGTATTGCGATCCTTTCTGAGGAACAGCACAATTTCATCAGGTTTTCAATACCCAGCAGGCTCTGCCTAATTCCTCCATTAGTATAACTTGAATTATCATTTATCTTGCACAAATCTTGTGGAACAGATTTTACTTTTGGTACAATCTGAAACATATAAATATTGACCCTCACATACATCTTCTCATAACTAAATTAAATTTTTTGGTATGTCCCAATAAGGTCTCCCATTATGTAATGCAGACTCCACTGTAATAGCATGTAAAAATAACATTTACCATGGCTACTACTGTAAGTTCCTGGTGGACATTTTGGCATATCAATGGCTGCACTCCCAGGACAGTAATGTCCAGGCAGACAGAGTCTAGGAACTATGTACTCCTCCACATCTGTGTCTAGCTCGCAGTAAAAGCCAGCAGGACACGACCAGCAAGTGGACAGTCCAGTTACATTGGAAAATGACCCTGGGGGACACTGCTGAGATGTTGCTGAAATTATATATATATATATATATATATATATATATATATATATATATATATATATATATATATATTTTTTTTTTTTTTTTTTTTTTAAAAAAAGTGTTTTT